CAGGTAAAGATAAGAGAAGCGGGCATACACATCCTGCATGGGCGGGCCTGCTAGAGTTGGGGTCCCGAGAGGTCCGAGGAGCCCAGCTGGGGGACACCACGCGCCTTACCCTGCCCCGCACGCGGTTCCCCAAGTCCCCGCCGCACCGTCGGGCAGAGGGGTGTCCAGTGGACCCCGCGCGGGCGCACCTGCACCTTATGCTGCGCCTCCTCGCGCTCCGCCGCGGCCTCGGGCGCCTCCCGGGGCCCCGCAGCCTGGCTCCGCAGCGTCTGGATCTCCTGGGACAGGAGGGCGGGAGTCGGTGGCGGGGCCCGGCCGCGCGCGGGGGCCCGGGCCCGGGGCTCACCTGGTCCTTGGTCTGCACCAGCGCCTCCAGCTGCTCCCGCGCCGGGCCCGGCGCCTCCTTCTCGCCGGCCGGGGGCGGCTCCGCGGCCGCCTGCGCCTCCAGCTCCGCCACCTGCGCGCGCCGCAAGCTCAGCCCTCCGCCCGCGCCCCCGGGCGCCCCGGCCCGGACCCCGCGCCGCGGGACGGAGGAGGGCGCCTCACCCGCTGCCGCAGCCGCTCGGCCTCCGCTTGCTGGGCCTCCAGCTGCTGCCTCCACTGGGCGGCCGCGGCGTTGGCCTCCCGCAGCGCGCCCGCCAGCTTATTGTTGCTGTCCTGCAGCGCGAAGAACTCGGCCTCCCACTGCACCTCGCCCACCGAGCTGCGGGGACCGGACGCGGGGGTCGGCGGGGCGGGGCCGCGAGGAGGGCGGGACTAGGGGTGGGCGGGGCCTACGTGGGCACGTGGAAGGCGGGGCCTGGGGAGGCTGTGGGCGTGGGCACGTGGGAGGCGGGCCCGGTGAGGCTGTGGGCGGAGTCTACGTGGGCACGTGGGAGGCGGGGCCTGGGTGAGGCTGTGGGCGGGGTCTGCGTGGGCACGTGGGAGGCGGGCCCGGTGAGGCTGTGGGCGGAGTCTACGTGGGCACGTGGGAGGCGGGGCCTGGGGAGGCTGTGGGCGTGA